CTAAACCAAAAATTAAGTTCAAATTGTGTTGCTGACACTCCTATGTGCAAAAAATTTATATCATCTTTAAAAGACTGACAGGTAGCTTATTATTTGATAGACGTTTGTCTTATTTATTGCTTGAGTAGTAGCAAGCGGAACATCAACGTGAGTTAGTATTCACACGTTAATCTCAAATTGACAGGTTAATGGTGAAATAATTTCATCTTGAAACATAAAGTGACCTCTACCTCTGAGTAGTTAATTGCCAGAAAAGAACTGGGCCGTGCTTTCTTCAAACGCCATAAGCTGAGTTTCCCAAGAAACATATCCATCCTGGGAACCGGAATAAACAAGAGTTGCTTAGCAGACAAGCTGCAGTTACACCAGACTTATCCACCACTTTGTGATGTGAGGGTTTAAGATAGGGAGCACCAAGGCGGTAACTAAGTAAGCGGGCACTACGAGTTCCGACAAATTACAAAAAGCAATTGGAACCAACCATCCATTAAAACCGCCAGCACCCCATTGATTCCCTTCTTTATAATCACTCCGAAATAATACAGTTTTTAGAGAATCTTGTCACTTTTTATGACATACTTAGTGAATTACACCTAAGTAGGGAAGACAACTGAATTCTCCTTTTCCAAATCCGTGCATGTATACCTCATTGGGAATAGCTTTGCAGCACCTGACGTACGTGGATGTGGATTTGTTAAGGCAACCGCACAAAAAAATGTATCATAGGGTACAGTATTTATGAGAGCCTTTTGTCCGTATTGAGGTGGTCACTCTGGTGTTGCTGTTAGCAACGCAAACAGTTTACTAAATTATTGTGGCAACAGGCCTGTAGGCAAATGTCGAGAAATTATGCGCCAGACAAGTAGAAAATAAATTAATGTAGAATAGCCAAATCTCTTTAATTTTAGCACGATTGATTCCCCTACAATTTGTGGTAACTTTACAGTAGATTGCTTTAATACTTTTCTATTGAAAAGTAAGGAAATGTCCGACTAACGACGTGATTTTTATCAAATCTTATTCTGATCACTATCCTCGAGCCAAGCCACTTTGAGATTTAAGGAATTCATTGCATTTATTCCTGAGCTGCAACAACAAACTCGACTTTTCCCACCGCAATTTTAATGTTTTTCACAGGAAATAACTTAATTGCTAGGGTAGGATGAATAATGTACTATTTATTCAACCTTGCAGATAAAGTGATCAAAAAAGTAAAATGCGGTTTTTGCAACACTTAGTAGCAAGGATTTTAAACACTTGTAAAATGCATGCGGTCATTTAAAGCATAGTACTGTGTGTCGCTCCGTCAGTAGGGTACACTTTATTATGCTCCTTATTAATTACCTCCTATTCTAAACCCTCGTATCATAAAATGACGGCTGAGCAGGTCTGATAAAGGCCAGGTAAGCCTGGCTGCCTTGGCAGAACCTAGTTGCCAAATGTGTTGCATAGTGCATGAAGATGGTGTGGCAAAAGAACCTTTCACTCAGACATGTCTCAAAAAGTGTCGATGCCTTAGATATGACGTTCAAAAAGACCCTGTATTCTCATTTCTAAGGAATGGGTAATTGTGTGTCACTATTACCTAAAATGCCTGGCGATGTGCGTACGAAAAACAACAATCTCCAATGCTCCAAGCTATTTTACACATAAATCAACCAATAAAGTAAAGTTATTTAATATTTATTGCAAAAAAGGGCATTAAATCTCTGGATTATCCTTTAACATTTTTGTAAAATTTTGGTAAGTGTTACCTTGGAGAAGCGCATTGGATGACGGCAACACCAAAATCGCATACGTATCATGGATAAAAGCCATTCAAAGTGAGTAGATCTGAAAATATGGAGCCACCTTTTCTAGCCTCTACACGCTTTCGGACAGAACCCTCGGCGGTATTCAAAAGAGACCCAAATCAGCTAAAGCCAGGGACAGAGCAATTTTTATATGAAGAGGCCAAATTAGCTAAAATCTTTCCATATCGCAGTTACTTCTCATATTCCGCCTATTTACATGGTTAAAGAATTCTAAAAATTTTATATTAATAGTTTATTCGAATTTTGGAGACCTCACTCATAAAAAATGTGAATTACGATCACCAAACGGTAATCTGTTTCTTACTCATAAATGGGAATATTACCATCATTCTTTTTACTTTTATTCTCTAGGATTTAGTTGCTCACTAAGCTTTTGCAAAAATTCCTTGGATGAAACCGTCGGAATTGCTCTTAATGGCGATTTGTCACTTAAATTTGGATGTTACCTTCGCAGACAACTCCTACTAAAAATAAATCTATTTAAAATCAGTTTTGCCAAAAACAATTTTGTCTGAATTTTCTCCCACATTCAAGGTTATAGTTTGGCAGGTGGATGGTGGCACGACGTTAGGTAAGACTATAACGCTACTTAAATATTTAAGTATACCATTATGCAATACAAAAGGTTTTTGGACAGTGGATTGTTATGCAATGACTCGAGTCTGTTGAAGTTGTAAGAACCCAAAGGGGTATGGAGGTACGCACATTAATAACGCCCAGAAGAGCTGGTAGGCTAGCAGCATGGCTTGAAGGTCGTAATGCGGAGCATCCAAAGACTGCGTAGTTAATATATTAATTCAGTGCACTTATTTAGGTGGAAGAAAATCGGATCAGGCCAGTTGTACTGACTGAAAGATAATACGGAAAATTATCTTCTTGGACACGTCCATAGTTTAACACGTTCGTCGTACATATCTATTGTTCCGATTATTCTATCCAAGCTCAGCGCCATAGATGTGCGGCATGCATCCTTTGTTGGTTTGGAATAGATTTACTGAATTTAGAGCAGCACAACAGATGCATGATGCCATACTTCTTTAGAAATCGACAGTAACTATCGTGTTTGACAATCAGTGTCACAGTAAGGCAATAAAACTAACTCAATGCATTTAAGCGGGACCAACTTGTAACATGTTTAATTAAAAAAGACAATCCTCGGATGCTCATGTGCGATTAAAAACCCAGCTTTTTATCATAAAATAAGGCATAGGATGTATTTATTTAAATTTACTAAACATCTTGAAGTATTCAATAGACGAATCATCAAAAATGCGCTAGAATTTTAGGAATACATTGTTCATTGTTCATTGGCTCTTAGTAACATCGGCTAAATTACTCATTTTTGCGTCAGAGAATGGGAGTCCAAACTACTGTCTCACAATCCGTGCTTATTTGTCAATAGGTCAGTTATAGTTAATTACTTGGTAGAGGGGTCGCCATTGACCGCTCCCCTTTAAACCCCAATAACCTGTCAACTTTTGCCACAATGATCAAATAAAAGCTACCCCCCACAGCGAATTCTTTCCTATCCAAAGGCATGAAACCAGAGGTGGAAGAGAGGAACGTGGAATCTGTTGCAACCTAGTTAGGCTAAAAAGAGATGCCTTGGCAATCACGAACGACTATAAGATTAAAATATGGGAGAGTGTGTTAATAGCAATAGTTATTATAACGTAAACGGTTATTAATTACAGTAGATAAGGAAGAAAATTCCCCTGTCGAATTTGTAGCTGAAGTCTCCCATGCCCTTGCCAAATTTATAGATAAAAAATGGAATTCTTCTAGCATAATAATAGAGTGTCTGGCCACGCTGGACGAATTGTCCAGAAGATGTACAGCGTCAGCTGTTAAACCTACGAAACTGCCACTGCGATGTGCAACTTATAATTAAGGAAGGTTAAGCTTGGTCATTTAATCAAATTGGCAAATTTTCGTTTTGCCTGTTAATACATGCATTTGTTCTAAGGAAGTTCAACAATGAAACGGTATGTTAACAAATAAATCTCATCTTATAGTTATCACAGAATTTTGTCTTTACCATTTCCAACTTTTTTGTTTATTTAATAGCATTTTATGCACAAACGAGCCAACTCTATTGCATAACTCCTTTTGACCTTTAAAAGAGATGTAAACTAAGAGTTGGATTGATTGTTTTAACGACCTGACATTTAGCACGTTATGGTCAGGCTTTCTTGTGCCGTGAGTATTTGTTAGCGGTTAGACTCACATGTTTTGTCAAATGAGAAGCTGAGAGTAATTTGTTTTGTATCGGCTGAACGAAGCATCATGGAAACGTAGTGCACACAGACAGAAGGCCAATCACAGTGGTTGGTGCTTCTTCGTCGACTGCGCTTCGTGGACGTGTGGACCGTGCAAATTACACACACACACACACCTCATGGCTTTATTGAGGGAGGCCATACGAGATTTTGCGACAATAGGGCCCCAGCTACTTCTTTTCACTTACTACTTGTGTGCTGAGATTTGGAAGGAATTAGAACATCCTCGCATATCCATTCACACACAAGTCCTTGCTGCAGCTGCTCGAAATAGGATATGATGAGCTTATCCAGCCAAATGCACTACTGGATGAAGCCAAATTGATCATCTGCCTGGAACTGCTAAAAATTATCGTCCAAATGTTCATTCTCCCCCTCATTGTACACCCACGGGGTCACAGAAACCTTCGTGAATGACATAGTTTCTACCAGAATCGCTTTAATTGCGACATTCCCAGGATAAATAGCTGTCAGTAAATCTTTCCGTTAGATTACACAAATGGCAGCGGGTAGACTTTATTCGGGGACATGGATTGGCAAAGGGACAAATAAACACTGGCATTTGGTGAGTCACGATTTGAAAAATTTGGTTCGCTACCAGGCATTTTTGGACACACGAGTTGCAACAATGTGACTTAAGCGGTCTGATTTTGAAAATTCTTAAATGCAAGCAATTCTTCTCAGCACTTTCACACCAAGAGAAATGTCTGCAAGAGCTGGTACGGCTTAATATGATTACCTCACTCCCTCATTTACATCTCCCCCTGCATTCATCCATCCATTCCGTGTCCATGCGCCCACCTAATTTTTCTTTCGCCTCCTCCCCGATCGTCCTGGGAGTGTGCCAAACACTTAAGCTGTTAGTAAATGTGAATTCTCTGTCCAATGGGCTATAGTGATCTGTGGGGTGAAACTACTTAAGATTAGTTTGTTGTTTTGGCTCTTGTAACTTTCACCATTTCAAAATATTAAGAAAAAGAGGCCTGTTGAAGTAATACAATAATTAAGTCATCCGAAGCCCTGAATTTCGCATTTATTCCTTCTAGATATTTTTTTACGACGGCTTTCACTATACAACTTCCGCCTTTTATAAAGCATATTTATTTTAGGAAAAAACCGGAATAATCAGAGGGTAGAAACCCTAGGAATTTGTAACGAATAAAAAAACTTCTTTGCTTTATTACAGACTTCTTTTAATGGGTAAATACGAAGTGCACAAGAAAATTATAAAGGTCATAGAGCTTTAACAGAAGAATTGCAAGTTGAGGGAGGATGAGGGGGAAGCGAACCGGACACTGAACCACTGCCGTTGATGGATGAATGACCAAGTGACCCCTTCCTCATTGCTTCTGCCGTGGCTCGAACATCAATCACCGTTCGGCAGGGTTCTGTAGCCAAAAATTATTTCTTAAGTCACGCCACTTTCTATTTTGCCTGTCTCCATCTTTATCTCCCAGCTCCCACTTTCGGTAAAGTTACTTCCAATCTCGCCCAGCTTACGCCTTATTTAGGGATAATACAAGTGCTACATTGACACAAAATTATTGCCACAGTTTTGCGATTTCCTCTCAGTACTTCCAGAAAGTTGTTTTAGGACACAATTTCATATTTACAACTCTGCCCACGATTGTCCAACATTACATCAGTATTTTCCCAAATGAGTCATTTGAAGAGTGCGTGCTTTAGAACTAACACCATATGACCTTGCGAGCTAAAAGGCAAACACTGGAATTCTTCTGATACCTGAAAAATTTGCTTTAGTTTTAGAAATTATGGTCACTCCTTAGCAATTGAATTTACAGGGAAATTATCGAATAACTTTGTAGTTCCTCTTAAGAATAAACTTTTCTTATTTTGTCAATCAGTCGTGTGCTTCGGGCTGGTAAGAAATTAATAATGCTTTACAAAGTAAACACTGGGTTCCGATGTTTTTTTCTCGAAAAAACTATTTCCTGATTAGCTTTACCTTAAAACCCACATATATGCATTGTTTTAATGTACCTCTAGGCGTTTTGGTACGCTTACAATAACCAGTTTGCATGAAATACATAGCTTAGACAATCTTTTCTGCTATGAAGTATGTAAGCCATCGACCACCTCACCTGTCGAGGATGGTTTCGTGCTTTGCTGACCTATGTTGGTGTCGGAAGGGTCCATTCCCATGAGTAATGCGAGGGCTTTGAACGACCGTGATGGAATATGTGCTCCCATGTAACGCAACCTAGTCATCCCGTTGTCTTCCTCTCTCTGAGGGTCTACCAATGCTCCTGGTTGTAGTGACTGTTGTGGACGTAAAGTAGAACTTGAACGACTATCACTATCACAGATATCCACAGACGCTGCACGTTGAAGCCGAAGGTTCTCCATCTGACTGAATGTTAGTTCACGGGACTGCTTGCGCTGACTGTGAATGCGTTCAAATTCGTCTCGGCAGTTTGGTAGGTTTGTTGGCATTTCCACGCACGCGTTACTTCCACGGCGCTCTAATGTTGTTGACATCTCACTATTCCTACGACAAGTTCGACCTTTATAAAACAACAAAAATGGCTTAGAAACCCCGATTTCTGTTCAAAATGTCGCCTTGATTTTTAAATACTCACTAAAACTACCTGGCTCAACCGATCCTCGGCCATACTCCCGTGCGAAAAACAACGACTTAGGGTTGTTTGAATCGGCCCTAATGAGAAATGTTAAGTGAAATAGAAACGAGTACAACTTACGGGGTGATCTCAAGAACAACAACTTCATCATCAATGTTGAGTAGGTCGGTGATATCCTCTCGTTTTAGTCCCAGAACAGATTGTCCATTGATAGTCTTAATCACTTGACCGCTGCGCAAGCGGCCATAAGCTGGGCTTTCATTCATGACCTAATTGCGTGATTAAAAAAGTATTCATTATAGACCTTTCCATTCATGTTCAGTCGTTTCAGTGATAATGTGCAAAGTCAAAATGTAAATAATGACAACTATATCATCGTTGATTTCTCACCAACTACAATTAGTTTGTTCACTATTGTGGCACATTGGACCATTTTGAAAGCGGCAAAAAGTACAAAATAACCAAGTTAACGTAAACAAGACACCATTTATGTCAGTAAAAACTTGTTGCAATAAGAGTCTATGGTGGAAATCCCTTCTTTACCATTATTAAATTAAGCAAGAATTTCAAGCATTGTTTGAGTTTAAAAATGGCAAACAAAGTTGGACATGTGATTTAATTTTGTTCAAGCAGTCGTCCGCGGATTTTAGACGGTTAGTAGTATAATGAAATCACAAAAAATGGCATTTTTTACTGCTCAAGTTCGGTGGCACGACAGAGATTTGACGTATGAGCCTTAATGTTAGTTATTTGTTATATTCAATCAATTCTCATCTGACACTTACACACCCAGACAAAAAGATTCCACAAATACTTCATTGCTTTTCCGGTCGACGTGTCAGAAAAGAAGTACATTTGGCAAGGCTTATTGTTCGCCCATATTCTCTTTTGCTCTCCTAATTAATAATCTCCTAAAGCAAATGTCTAGCACACTTTTATAACCACTTGAATAGGGCCCTCAATGAAGTGACTAATCAACATCACCTACCTTCAGAATCTCCGGTCCCGAGGGCAGAACTGCATAGCATATCCCCCACGGGTGGCTGGCATCCGGTCGTCTAATTTCCACACTTGCTAATTCCTGGCGTTGGCGCTGTTGCTTCGCCATATTATTAGTGAAGCCTACTGCACTGTTCGGTGTCTTTATATTCTTGTTTAGGCTTCCGCCCCCGCAATGCTGAACGCATGCTAGACATTGGACTGCATGCAATCAGCCAATTGTTGATTGGAAGGTGGTGCAATGCATTTGTGGGTGGGTTGTGAAGTTACCAGCCACAGACAAGGTTTTGCACCTTAAATTTTCAAATAAATTTGTCTTACACACTTAGCTAACCATGAAGGCGTACCTGTAGAACATGTAGTGACCTGCTCTCATTTCATAGGATTCTGCAATTGACTAATGTGCAATCTGGTCACTTCTCCTGTCTTCATCCGCATTTGTTAGGAGGGCAATAAGTTTCCTAGCAGTTGTGAATTAAAAAACGAATGTATCAACCTATTAAATGAAAAACCGAACTAGTCAATGGGAAGTAGAGCATTTTGTCAAAGAATTTGCTAATATGGGAGGATGTAATTAAGACATAATTTTTGTTGATGACCCTCCTAGCAAATCCCCCGACAAATACCCCACCAAACGGAACTCATTCAAACTGCTACACTGTTCCAGAGACTGGAAGTTAATCGCAGTTTCAGGATTACTTAACTGCACAAACTTCAGCTGACCTGATGCAGGGATGGTTTGTTCTTCTTTAAACCAAGTCGGGCCTACAAATGGCTCACACGACACGGTGTGTCTTTCCATTAGCGAAAAGAAGAGGTAAAGTTGATAAAAAGATATAAAGCACTTTTACACTGAGGATATGTCTCGTCAGGTTTGATTTGGGACCCTAGAAGGAGCTCAACTTAGTGGAGCAAAAAAGGCACAAAAATGTTTATTGCCTTATCATTTATTTAATTATATGTTGAGTTTCCAGGTGATTGTATTGACAACCACTGATGGCACTCAAACCTCTCTTGGTAGAATCCTACCCTGCACTACAATTTTTGACAAGTCACGTGTCATAATCGTGTTTAAACATTTGTCAAAGTAAATGTATCTAATGTAAAAGGCCTTCTTCGAAAATGTTAGTAAATAATGTGGCTTCATTGTACACCTCGTGGGATCGTTTGGAATGCATTAGTCACGCACCAATCGCTGAACCAGCCTGCTATTTTTACCCGACTTGCAGGGAGACTTTGCAGCAGGACCTTGCGTCATTGGGGGACTGCCTACCTTGTTTACTTTACACAGGAAGCGTCCATGTAAATGTAATGCAATCCAATAAATTTAAAATGCATTTTAGAATTTCTTTGAAGGTAAAATAAACCATTCCACTTTGCAGGTCACCTCAAGCTTCTTGCGGACAAGACCGATAGGTCAGGTAGTCAAGGGGATAGCAGAACCTGCAGAGACGGAAAGGGTTCCTGTTGTGGCATTTTATAGTGACACTTGCCTAAATGGGACAATTAAAACAGGAGAGTATCCTGTTCCGATACTGCAACATAGGCCGTTGTGGTGAAGGCCAAATTGCAACTGGCTGAGACCCAACTCCCCTCCCTTACTGGCCATTGTGATCGAACTGGAGGACAGGTCAGGAGTCGATGCCACCGTCCTATCTCCCTTGAGATTTAGCCATCCACAGTAGAAGGCTTCTTCTGCAATATTTTGATCCGGTTGCTAGCCAACGTGATCAGGATCATTTTTCATTTGGATCAGATTCGCTTACCACTGGCACCAATGCAATTCTCCCTGGGTCTGCTCTGAAGCCGTAATACGGTGGGCCAATATGAAAGAAAGGGAGGTGCTGAAAGATAAAAATATTGAGAAGTTCACGTAACTAAACACATTATTTTGAAAAAAATAACTTAATGGATTCTTTGTTTATGTGTTGAAGGACTTGATACATGTACTTTTAATTATAAATTCTCAGTTTAGGGTCATCTGAAAGTTACCTGATAGTCATTTCTTGTTAATGAATAAACTAAAAAATTATCTCATATTTACGATACTTTCTAAATGCATTCACAAACACACATTCTGAAGTAACCAAAACGCCAGATTGTGCCTGTGCTCTCGTAATCCAGGGCACACAACTGCTCGGTAAGTCCTGCTGATTCAGAGGTAGTGAATTATGCAACCGTTGTAGGGATATTCGTGCAATTTCGCCTTCTCCCTCAAAAAAAATCTTATCCTTAACATGTTCATTTGATGAATTTGCCGGGTCTGCATCGGATCATTTCGACTTACCTTATAAAGTCGTCCAATGTTGAATAGTCTAGACGCATCAAAAGAAGGCGAGTCTTAAAGACAAGAAATTAAAAAATAAATCAATTTGACGTTTTTTTCCTAACCAATGAGTTTTACAAGCAGATTTGAGTATTGCAATTTGTGAAGTTTGTTTTGCCACAGAAAACGTTGAATAAACAAGGGAGTCCTTTTGTAATGCTCTATTCATTCACCCACTTATCCTAACAATCTATGATCCTTCCCACCAAGGAGAAAGTTAGCTGTAGAATCTATTACAAAACGCATTGTAGCTCTAGGAGCTGAGGGGAAGCCCTACACTAGCCACCTTTTCATCTGTCCGATCTACTTTGTGTGTAATCATGTGGTTGTGCGGGTTCAAGAAAATATGTCAACCATTGCTTGAAGAAATATAAATTAGAGAAATATGAGGATGAGGAGGCATCTCCTCTACCTCCCCCCCTCCCATCCACAAATGTAAGTCTTCCCAAAGGTAATTTCTGGAATGTGTGGTATGACGCATGAGGTCGTGCTTTCCATTGTCTAATAAGGCTGGGAATAGGGATTTCCTCCGACTGAACAAACTCACCTGTTTTTTAAAGAAAAACTTTTGTTACAAGCTTTGAGGTGTATTGCACAGAAATGATAAATATCAGCAAGTAAACAACCTTTAGTAAGCATTCCTGCCTCTAATGCACCACAAACACGCACAAAGTCTGGCTTTGTGGAGATTGAGTGATGGGTGCCCTAGAAGTATGGGATAATTTCAGGAGTGTATGGACTGTTTGAGGATGACGAGTGATGGATATGTTCGCCCAACGAACTTTGGAAAACGAGGCCATTCCTCATACCAACCCACTCACGCAGTTAGCCAGCAAGCAACCCCCCTTTCTATAATGTAGAAGAAAAGTAGAGAAAAACGAATTGAGAATTGTCCAAACTCATTATCCTCCATTAATGCTTGAGGGTAAAACCTGCTTACCTCTTGTAATTTCCACAACCTGCCATACACTAAACTTGTAATTCCCACTTTAATCCCATATTATTTTAAGCACTAGAGTGGCATATTTCTCAATCTTTAAAATCGAGAACAGTGGGTTTCTCTGAGCATCTGTATCCATTATCGAGTGATTCACCAGCAGGATAAATTCATTTCAACCAAATTCCGGCTGGAAGGTTCCCTCGCCACATCCCCAACACACGCATGACGAGAATTTTCTGCCTCAGGTTTGGAATTGAGGCAGAATCAGGCAAGCCCAAGTCACATCCATCAATTATATTCAACCAACATTGGCGGAAAATAGTAAACAGAACAAGACACACCGTGCCGATAGACTGACGTGTATCTGGGCTTGGTAAATCGTAGAAACAATGGTGCCTTCCAGGTCTTCGCACATAACAGGTCATTGAAGCAAGCTATACTGAAAACACAAAACTAGTCAGCGGGTCTGGCTACAGCTTTTCAAGACTGTTTGTTTCCACTCTGAGCGATATGGCCAACCTATCAACATTCACCATAAATGGATGGACTAATGGACTAAGCTGTCGTTTCCAGTGAATTCTTTGTGCTTTCAGATGATCAGAGGTTCATACCAAGGACAACTTTAATGTTCTTTTAGGAAACATTCGGTGACCACAGAAGTTTGTGTTTTGTATCTCCACCAGGGGGTTTGACTTCATTGCCAAAAGTAGTGCAGGCTTCATTTCACCTCCAGTTGTGTCATCACAGATTCTTTTATAAATAGACGTCAGCTGTAAGAGTCTGTTTGCAGTCTTGGATGTATCAACGCCTTGCATTTTATGCAAATAAGGGTTAATCACACCATCGGCACGCTGTCCGTATCTTACCGATGGTGCTTGGCTTCACTGCAGTGCGCTGTTAATCACCTCACCATGCGTAAGAATGAACGAGTAAATATTTAACATAAGCATTCAGCCAGAATGTAGTTTCCTGGGGCATTTTAGAGCCACTCCACACCTTATCTCAAAATTGAATGTTATGGCTCCCAAAGGTACACCACACTCAGATACTGATGTAGTTTCGTTCAATGGAGTTACCGAAATTTCAATCCTCATACTGCAGGAAAGAGCGCCAAGTTCTGAATCTACCTGATTTTGCCGCCAATATTGTACGTCATTTATGAGTATATTCAAATATTCTAAACTATATTTCTTCCAAAAAAATGGGCAGGTTTTTATTTTATGGCGTCATAGCTATCCATTCATACCTTGATGCACTACATCCCAATTTTTTGTTGCATTGCTGGCAATGTCTGGAACCAAAGAAAAAGTTTCTGTTTCGATTTTCCAGAGAATAATTTTCTTACGACCAATGCTCGAACATTCTAGAGCCTCCTGTTTGGTCAGTATCAGGTGTAGATGGGCGTAACTGAGCTGATAATCACTATAAAGTCAAGGCCGATTAAACACTATGACTGCTCGACCATGGGGCCACCTTGTGTCCCCCGCGCTCATCCACTAATTACGTGTGCATACCTCCGTTGACTCTGCTTTCTTACACTAGCACAGAAAGCAATTAAAACGCCTTCAAGTAAGTGATTATCAGAGAACCAATGTTTCGCAATGAATTGGTGCATTTTTCAATGTTCCTTCCTAAAAAATCCTTTTAAAGGCTTGAGAAATTGCATCTTGTGACTACAGAAGGAATGCGATCATCCTGCTTGGTGCACTAAGGATGCTAAATTCCCCCTTTGGAACCAGTAAAATAGTAGCTCTGTTAAACATCATCCCATGTGACTCGATATAAATTATTTGAACTATGTGAAAATTTGCTAAAAGGCCTTTTTCTTCCAGGATCAGTGAATGCACAAAATTGCTTTCTCCCTTTCCTGCTCCCCAATTTTGACAAATTAAAACTTTGCAATGGTAAATAAACAAATAAGCTTTATCTCAAAAATTGGATTTTGACTATGCGTAGAATTTACTTACAATGAATTAGCCTTTCCTGTGAGTGACTGCGCCATAAAGCAAGCCTTTATTCGGAATACCAAGTTATTACATACCGCAGCGCCCCTAGACCTTACCAAAGGCAAAAGAGGACAATATTGGAGCAGAATAAGTGTTATCGAAGTGTAGAAGAGCTGGGGGGTTACTGGCGTAGCCTGGAGGCCATACCACCCATCAAGGGTACATAAGCGGGGTCCATAAGTGTCCTTGAAGCCAAAACGATGAGGTAAGCAACTAACCAAAGCATTACAATATCTTTTTACTCTTTATATTCTGACATACTCCTTCCTCTTACTACAACCGCAGAGAAGACTCCGGGTGCTACACACAGGACTTAACAACCAAAAGCACCTTGTTTAACCACGTGATAACTGGTCACGTTGGTATTTATAAAAATGTTTTAAATTTAACAAGTTAATGTTTATGAATCTGTCTTTTTCCTTCAGCGCCTCCGCGTTTAAGTGATTTTTGCTTGGCCTTAACTGCTTTACAATAATTAATAGCACTGTACTTCTAAAAGGCCCATCGCAAAAAATTTTCAATGGGGAATTTTCATTTTTTTTGGAGCACAATAGGTAAAGATGAAGTTGATCAAAAGTTAAAAATTAACAGTGAAAAGTAAGAACTCATCTAATAAGCGTTCAGGAGACCATAATTAGCTTTGCCAGGATCTTTATCGATGACAGAGCAAGGGCGGTTAGATTCGTCTCAAGACGAAGACGTCAACAAGCCATAATTTCCTAAAAATGACCAACTAGTGAAATTCAAAAGTCCGACATCAGCATATAGCTAAAGAGCAGATGGATGATATTCCTCCGCTTTGAGCTGAGTGTTTTCCATAAATTAAAAAAAGTGCGGCTCGCGAATGTAGAACCAGAGAAAATGGACTAATCTACAGCGATGAATACCCGTGATTTCCCATCCAATTCTTCACTTCGCCAAAGACGTGAATTCCTTCCAAATTAGTGATTGACAGCTGTTTTACTCCAGTTAGAAACGTTCTCTTCGAATTGCACTTTGTTTTTAATACCTGTGTAGTATCAGTTAGCCACTTTTGAAATGATCAATGCAGAGAACAGTAATTCGAGGAGAGCAAAACTAACTACCGTAGGACGAGGCTCGTATGTCTTCTCCTCTTTGGTCCTCATACTCTTAGAACACCCAGATTTGGTTTGATTTTGACGCGTTTATTATGGCAAGTAGATGGGGAAAGCCAGTACAGAGTTTAGGGGGTATAAACACGTACCGCTCTCAGTTTTGCGGAAAGTTGACTCCTTAGTCACGAAATTCGATTCGTACCCCTGTCTCCTCTCTGAAATAAACATTGAAACCATATAAGCATTACACCACATTGTTTGTCGTTTTCAGCAGCACACCGAGTAGTTGGGATTGTTTTGCAGACGTATAATTTTTAAACAATAAACAAGCACTCTAAAATTAAGATTACTATCAAATTCCATTTTCCAGTATATAAAACAAAACAGTAAGGATCACTTTCATTACTTCCGACGTCTTATGGGTGTGTGCAGCACTTTCCGAATCAAGCAAATGCTTTTTAAAAGTTCCGTAAGAAAATACCTTAAATATGCCTTACCTATAGTACTTTGACCTCTTCAGATCTAAATCGCATTGTTTTTGTGGTTAATGATTTTGTTCTGCCCAGCGGGCATTCTGAAAACCGCGGCTTGTCCAATCCACGCCAGGCATAGTCACGATCTCCTCCTCGTTTATAAAATGGATTCCCAGCTGGTCGATCTTCCAAAGGGAGGATTTGTTTATGATAATTGTCGCAGGTGCGCTGTTTTACTCATATTACGCGTGGTAGAAATGCGAATCTTTCCAAACTTTCGGACCTGCCTTTCAAGATGACTAAGACAGGCACAACTCTAGCTGCGGTCACATTTGATGTACGCCAATCACCCTATCTAATTGCAGTTTAGGGTGGAATAGTGCTTGGTGCGGATACAAGGACAACAGAGGGCTCAATAATTGCCAGTGGTTGCTGTGAAAAAATCCACTATATTGCTGACAACATTTAGTACACTTTCTTCATATTTTATCAAACATTTGTAAATAGTTGCTGTGGCGCAGGTACTGCGGCAGACACTCACCAAGTCACTCGGATGGTTTCGTCTCAAATCGAACTTCACAGGCTGAACACTGGACGTAAACCACGTGTTATCACCGCCCTTCGTCTTCTCAAACAACACCTGTTCAAGTATCAAGTGAGTAATCTGCTTCCTTGGTGCATTCATTTTATAGGGCCATATTGGGGCAGCATGTATCTTGGGAGGTGTAGATAACTTTGGACCTCACCTCTACGGCGTCTATCCTCATGGATCAAGCGATAAAGTCCCCTACACAACCATGGGCAGCGGCTCTTTAGCTTCTATGGCTGTCCTTGAAACTAAATATCGACCGGACTTGAGTGTATGTCCAAATTTCTGTGGTCTTTGTCATTTAATCCCCCTTTTCCTCTTAATGTGTTTAAATTCTACTTCTTTACTATTAACTGGTTTGATTCTACGTTAGTTTTGGAAACCTTATTCTGTCTGGACCACCCAATAGGATTCTGCCTAGAATATTTTATTGTTCCAGAGGGAAGATGCGATGGAGCTTGTTAGACAGGCCATTCTCGCGGGTGTTTTCAATGACTTGTACTCCGGAACTGGGGTAGACCTTTGCGTAATTACCAGCAAAGGCACGGAATTTCTTCGGCGCTACGACGTCGCCAATGTGAAGGGTGTTCGGTGAGTGCAATTATATCCAATCACATTGAGAAATGCACCTCAAGCTCACGAGATGTTAACCCAGGAATGCTGTATTTCAGCGCAAGAAGTTACTTGCCGAAGCCGGGAACCACCAAGTGCACCAAATCAGAGGTCAAAAGAATAGAGTATGAAGTCGTTTCGACCCGTGTGATTAGAGATATGGAGGAACGTGAGCCCATGGTTATGTAAACCTGAATTTTCCTTTGTTCTTTCTTGCATCCCGTTCTCACTAATAATGTCGCTTCTTTGACGAATACTTTATGCACATGAGGGGTGATTCGTCACTTATCGGAACTAGGATATGTGAAGCATCAGGTTCCTATTTCAAAAGGCCAATTTTGTAGGTCGTAAATCCATTCGTTCTGCCGACCGGAAAGATTCTTCACATAAATGCGCCAAACAGGCAACGCTCACGAAATCACAGGCGGTGATATTGACTTGTTTTTCTCCTATAATTGAGAATAACCTCAGCCGGTGGGGAGGAGAAGGTGCTTACTGTGGACAGTCTCGACAAAAGACAGGAGAAAGTTGAATTCGTCGTCATCATAGCGTTGGGGAAGGAATTTTCTGTGGGTCTTCAGTCGAAGTAATAAGCTGGTTATTATGTTAAGTAGCCGGACTCAGCTAAGAATTCGTCGATAGCTTCTCCTGAAGGGTCAACGACGCGCCTGTGATTTAATGGAAAAAGCTCGAAATTCTGGAATGAATGTGGTGTGCAGACAGTAAGGGGTGGAATTCTTACAATAACTGACATTGTGGATGTCATAATATAGCTCGGCGCGGGTCCCTCTTGCTCGTCTCAGCCCAAAAGTGCCACCCCACTCATCTACGCGATTTGTGAGATTTATAATACTCTAGAGTATGTAGTGAATCACGTAAATTAGAGATACCCGGTATCCTCCGCAAAAAGATGTTGGTAATAACGTGGAAACACTAACCATACCACAGAACTTGGAATAAACGGTTTGCAAGTGCTAAAATTAGCTATACAATCTTCGTGGCAGCGTCAAGCGAATTCAGTTCCATAGTACCGCAGTTTTCATTTCCTTGAATAATTATCAAGCCTTGTCATGACAGGAGTGGAGCATCTGTCACGGATGGAGATTCTGGGCAGACTTCGGTTACGTGTTCTATAGGAATGCTATTAACAACCAAGCCAAACTTGAATGATTAAGAAAAAGTATATTACAGATCTGCCTTCAGTATCTATATGCTTCACCTCTCCACTTGGCAATGAGAACTCGGGTAGATAGATGACTAGACAGCACCGCGCCGAGGGTGAACCAAAAAAGCGAAACGGATGTGAAGAATTAACTACGCAAAACTATTTTAAGTCTTATTTGTTTATTAAGTGGCTCCGCTTCCGGACTCGTAATCTTACGAATAGATATTGCCGTACGAGGTGGCCCCGTTGTAGAGCGTCGTACTGACTGGTCTTGGGGAGTACGAAGCTAGTTCAACTTTCTCTACCCCACTGCAGTCCACAAGTAAGTCTAAACTGTTAAGATGCATGGATGATGTTGGGATGAAATGCCTTCTCACATGCAGGAAAACTCAATGACTGACTGCGGATGATTTTCAATGCACCGACTAACGACGTTACGACGACTGACGCAAGAGGTTGACCTAGGGGAGCGCCAGAGATGACATGATTTAGTATTTTGTTGACTTTGGTATCTGAAGGTTGTTATTTCCAGCCTGCAGTATGGCCTTTGGGCTATGCTGGAGGCCTTGGAGCGCTACAGGCCTCACATGTTTCAAAACAGTTCAGTCAATCGCTAATATTTCACACCCTATCTGGAAGTTGGTCAAAAGGCCCAAAATAATGCACCTAAGCTAGTTCAGAGGTGGGTTTGCTTCTTCAGCATTGCAAATAGTCCTCTCTTAGTAAGGCTCGTTGTGAGGAGCCTGGTCAACCGGTTTACCTCTTTTCTACCTTTATACAACAATTACTCTTTTCCACACGTGCGCCAGTCTTCCATAAAATCAAACACTAGAGACCAAATTTTTGAAGTAATAAGACTGTGAAAAATTCCTCGTAAAATTTCTGCATTGATCCTGTTTCAACACAGTAAGGTGGCGGACGGTTTAATCGGAATGTACTTCACTTCACAGGGTGGTACCAATACCTAATACTGAAAGCTAAGTAGTAGATTCTACCATCCCTCCAGAAGAAAATGGATTTTACCATCTTTGGAACGATTGTCAAAGAATCATCATAAAGTTTTCCAAGAGTTAAACTGAAGCACATTTCATGAAGTGCATGAAATATAATGACGCGTCGCAATTTCGGCAATAGAACAGGGTACAACTAAGCTTGGCAGACGAGGGAAAAGTTCATGAGGTTCTTGACATAGTCCACAGCGATGGCTTGCTGAAACATGTAGAGACTTGTAAAATGGGATTGTCTGTAGGCATTATTAAGCATAATTATGCGTCAGTCAGTCTCTCGGTGCGGGACCCTTTACCATGTTCCCCATTATTTCCGAATTTCTTGCTAAAACCTGCTTCAAAAACGCGCAGTCCAGGACCAGATTATCAAGCTCGACCTCGACGGCTAATTACTCGAAAGACTCATCACGTTTGTGAAGGCTTCTCCCCTCATCAGGAGGAATCAGGTACCTGTACTAGCGCGTAAATTTCAAATTAACGTGGAAGAAACCCCATTTACACTCAGCGCGAGTGATGAAACAAGCGTAGATCTAAATCAGTCAAAAACACCGTGGTCTTTAGCTAGCAATTAACATCCGCATACGTGCATTCCCTCTTCTCTCCATCATCGGGTGGACTGCTTGCTGACCGATTTGCAGTGCGAAAAGAATCTGTTGCTTCGTTTCTTAAGCGAACGGAGGTGCCACTGATTGACTTTACTATCCACACTCTTAAGGCACCCAAAACCTCGATTTTACAAAAAATGCTTGTGCAGACTCACGAAACCTCATCCCACTGCATGGTGCAGCGGACTACAGAAAGCCGTGTGCTTGCTGTGGACCGGACGGCGGGTACAGCTGAGAATGTGAAGGACAAACATCCTGAAGAGCATCCAGAAATAACTGATCAGCGAAGATTCAATTTGCATTCTCACTAAATAGCACACAGCAGACCCCGTACCTTGGCATGCACCTTGAACAATCAGTTTCGAACAAAGCACACGTTACACTAAGTACCACATTACGATCATGTTTTTGTACAGTTTCAACAACGCCATGGATCACAGTCAATAAAGTGGGACAGGAGGTCTCTCAACGCTGCATAGGTAATAACACAGCTGGGTCAATCATATCTGTTCATAAGTATATACAGAAACACAGTCTAGAAAATACTTGAGAGGTCGTTCCTTGCAGCTGAGGTCGTGGAGGAGCGCGAAGTAACTGACGGGTAGGAGGCTCCGACACTGTCAGGGTGCTTTGGAGCCTCCTCGCGCTGGAAAGTATCAAAAAAAGAGGCAACATAACGCTCTCGTTTAGGTTATTAATAAGTCAGGAATGGTATCAATATTGCAATGCAGTAGAATACGGGGTTTGTTTCGCAAAATTTTGCAAGTTTTGTGATATTTAAAACGTCAAAGTGTTTATCATTTAATTATAAAGGGATTCTAAATAGGAAATAAGGATAATGAAATGCCTAAACAATAGTACCAATGAAATTGAATTATGCCCTTCCACAAAACACCCCATGAAAGCAGAAAACTAAATCTGAGCAAACCTTAAATGCAGACGCAGAATCGGGATGGGAAGCAACAGGGAAGGGATTTTGATTGTGAATTTGAGGTGGTGGCTGTGACTTTGGCGAACAAACACGTGGCACTTTCATCCGCGATCGAGAATCATCGTAGATATTACCACTAGCCGCCAACAGCTGTTGACTATTGGTTGAAAATACACCACCGCTAGATGGAGGGAACATATTTTTCACATGCTGCCGCTGATTTAACGTGGTCTGAGATTCATAAGGCCGCTTTTCAGATCGATTGTAAGCCTGTGGAGAAGGGTAACAGATAGCAAGGAGCATCACTAAGAGGATACTATACCACTTATGATTCACTCGTACTAACCCTTCCTGGTTCATTCATTCTCCGAGCCTGTATCGTGGGATCTTCACGTGCGTGGTGACGATTGAAATTCATTTTCAATGTGTTCTTCACCTGGTTTTTTATTTTGACATCACATGCCTGAAAAGCCTGAGTAAATTCATCGGCCATTTTCCGAATCTCCTCCAGCGTGAGGTCACGCGAAAACAACCGGTACCATTCTCCATCTTCACTTTTGATATCGTAATTATTCCACTTGGCAGCAACGTATAAACTAGTGGCAGCGATAGCTTCCATGGAGTGATGCAAAAGAAGAGTTGTGAAGTGAAGTATATGGGTGCACACAAAGTAGCTTGTATGGGAAACTTGTTTTGGGAAATCATTCTGGCGGAGAACATTGATAAGAATCACATGCGGGTGCTTGACATCCATTTTCTGGAAGCCAACAACCATTAGGATAGTGCTTTCGAGCGCGTGGATATTCTGAACGATCCGTCGAAACGTAGATGACGATTCGGCAGGCGCGGTTTTTTTAAACACACCATAAGCCACAGATATCAGTAAGGACAATTTCCTAGAGAAGTCCTCCGTTTTACAGGCGAGATATAAAGAGGCTATGGAGACCATTACAGGTTTGACCGTCTCTGGAGAAAATACTTCGTAAAAATTGTGCATATAGAAAAGAGCGGCGTTGATAACGACCTGAGTTCTGGGAAGGGTAACCGTACAAAGGAAACTCACGTTGGTATACGTGAACCTATTTCTTGAATCAAACAGGCACATTGCTGCCGTCTAGCCAAATTCATGCTTCTACTGCTAACTTCCATAATGAAAGGTGCCGTTATTTCAAAACTGGTTCCACAGGCCGAGGGATAAATAGCACATGTAAACACAGTGTAGATTTAGAACCAAAATAACAAAATGCTCACTTAAATGGCAAATTAATTACATAAATACTATGAGAAGAAACTTATAGATGGCTCTGGACTTTCCATGTCTGTCAGTTATTGCACGTTACGTACTTTTTTCGCATAAACTTCTTACAAAAACAGTAAAATAGATTTGCGTATAAAGTAAAGCTTTTGATAAATGATTTTAAGGGGTTAGCAACCATAGATACTTTGCCTAAGATCGAATGCATTAACTTTATTTGTTACAAGTGTAAATTTAAAAACACACCTCAAACAGGATTTTGGGTATCGACCAGCCACAGTTCTTTTGTAAGCCAGTAATAAATTATCTGTCATACCCCTTGAAGAAGATTGTGCATTACTCTCCTTAGCCTTTGCTTGACACTTCTCACACATGTAGCTTAGCCAAAGAGAAAATCTTTAATCGGATAAGTGGTGTGGATTTGTGCAGGGATTCAGCGTTGTATATGGTTACTGTTTGCTTTGTCCTCGGGGTTTAATTTAGTCGGCTCATCCATGAGGTTTACGTATGCTGCCTGCTGCATTCTAAAGGGAAGCTCTCACAAACACGTACTATACTGCCATGACTTCTCAATACTTCGGTTGCTCATTTGGCCTTCAGTTCGATTAACAAGCTTTACAGAAGCCCAACCGTTGTAACTCTGCCAGATTTGCCAACATTTTGATCGTGTCAGTAGTTTAATGCTCTTTTTTGTCCTATGTATACATTCTGCTCATCGTCAAGGAGTTGTGGGGACCTGCAAATGCAACATTCTGAGAATGAAACATAGATCTAAATATCACACTAGGGGAGACAAAGTATTTTTACAAAAAGTATTCACTATGATTTTTTGCTACTTTTTATAGTTGGTTGCTGACGCTCGATTTTATGGAAAACTGGCGCCAAGCGGAAGTGAGTGGTCGTTATAAAAAGACCGGTGTGAAGTGAACTGGCAACTGGTTTTCTGAAAATGAACCTTACTAAGAGAGCAGCATTTGCAATGCTAGAGTTGCATAATCCAGCTCTGAAGTTGCTTAGGTGTCAGATTCATACTGGGGCCTTAATAACGGTAAATGGTCGTTAGACAAAATTAAGGATTAGATTCGCCATATTAACAGCTAATGACACTACGCCTTTAAAGGTAATTTTCAGCTTCCTTGTTATTCAATTATTCTATCCTTAGTAAATACCAATGACAACTCTTATAAATAGTGTTACAGGCTTTTACTGGGGTGAACTTCTAGGGCATTGTTAAAATCGACACACACATTAATATGCTTTTTCTCTCCTAAACACTTAATGGATTCAAAGTGCTTCAACCATATTCATCTAAAACGATTTAACATAGCGTCGAAAGTGAAGGTCATCTAGGTCCTATTCAGAGGACTTTGGGTTCTATTTATGTCGTACTGTTGGGGTGATGGCGTCTGTTTCAAACACAGTCCCCCAAATCACGCGATTTCAGATTTTTTCGAATATCTACGAACTCAAAATTTTTATGCACAACTTACAAATTGTAAGCTTTGTTTCCAGCATTTCCTAATTCGTCTTTCGAAATAGGCTACTGGAACGAAGTACAAAATCGAAAAAGTGGACTATTTTACCCGTTATACTGCGCAATATGATCGATTCATGTATAAGAAAGTTATATACAGGTGTTGCGGCATTTCATCTGTGTAAGTTTGGGCGTAAGCCTTGGTACATTCAGTAGCAATCCATGTTTTTCCTTTGTAGTTGTTGAAACCAACGGTAACTTCCTTCAGATAACGGATTGTGATTCCAGACATACACACGATGGAAAGGTGATCCCTAGAGTGCTCCCTTCAGTTACCTTTGTTGGCGGTATTTGGTGGAACTTACTAAGTATTTCATGTCTATAGTCGCTGCTCTTGATCCAGATCCCGAATTTGCAATGACTTTTAAGAACCTATTCGACAATGCTTCCTTTCGTTCATTTGTCGAACTTCAGGAACAGTTCACTCGATTTGACGAAGTAGGTTATGTAAAAGTATACCGGAACTATTAGATAACCGGCGCGTGCTATATTCGACGTCACACCACAAAGCTCCCTCATAATCATATAGATCGTGGAACCTGTGTCTACCGACGTCTAACACTCGAATGTAAACACTCCGGTACCTTCAGAAGTCGTTCTACACACGGCGTATCCCGGAAGTAGTAGCTCATTTTTGTTGCTCTAGTTTTCTTCTAGGTCGAAGATGATCAACTGCCCATCACGGATAAACTTTATCTACGAGAATGGCGTCCTAAAGCTTCTCAACTACAACCTTCGTCATAATCATCTTCTCTCTCCAGCTGCAATTCCCAGAGATGAGCCTCTTAATACCGTTTCCAAACGGCGTTTCCATTTGTGTCGTCCAAGTAGTAAGCGCCGAAACTTAACAGGAGTTCATTCGGATGTAGATAAACATGAAGACAACGTTCCACCTGAACCGACTTCGGATACCATTTGGCACACGGGACAGGCCTTAGTTTCTGGAAGTTCAAGCCAAATCAATCCCTTTGTGAGGGTTTCTTCTGAAATGCCGCTGCACTCAAGCAAACTGCGTCAGCTGATGTCTGAAATGAGGGATAGGTCGTGTTGATAGTCGAACAAATGTACTTTTTGCATGCGCTTTCAGATCATGTACAGATATCTTTATTTGTTCCACTCACATACGCGGGTTTTTATACTTTCAACTTCTGGTTATTGTCTATACTTCGTAATAAATAGTGTAATTCTGTGCGTAAATTACTAATCGGTGGGAGGGAGCATGATAGTGGTACAAAATCGAGCTTATCATTGTTGGTCTTTTTATTGCAGGATTGGGAATTCCCCAGTTGCTGTTCTTTACGCACAATTGCACCTGGGCTAGTTTTTAGTTTGGGGTTATCTGTCGTTTTTCGCAGAAGTAGTACCTAGAATCGAATCCAACGTAGTTGAATCCAAGTTTTATGGGCAAATAGGGAAGACGAACTGCACTTCTATGAGTCGGAATTAGTTTTTGATGCAAGCTACTTCGACAATGCAAAAAGTTTTTTATGAAATACAGTAGCTGTAATCAAGGCTAGTCTCCAAAGAAATTATAATGCCTACCAAATAGATCGTTTAAGATTCAACGTCAACTGCGCGATCTTTACTGGTGTTTTAGTTATTCATAGGTGTTATTTTTTCTCATGACGTATAGTGTAGTGTGGTAGGTTTACCACAAAATTTAACGAGCGGTTAGGGCTCACAAATTTTGTGTACTTTTTGATAAAAGTCATGCCTTATCGTTAATAAATACTAGCAGAACTGGGTAATCTATTTCGACCGGTTTTGAGCATACATTTGCATGTTGGTGAATAGTAGGCGTTTCATTTCATGCCTGCTAGTCTTTGGAAAAAGAAATGGCGAGAGGCTTGACTATCAGTACCTGCAATTTGCAGACCCGGTTTCGTCCCACTCCTCTCTTCATAATATAGGCGCGAAGACGTTTGATAATTTGACAGTGCCACAACCCATACCGCAGACGCATGGAACATCAAATGTAAAAATTTCAACTGATGAAAATCACCCTTTCACAATGGGACTGACGAATAATAGAATAAGCCTAGTGTGATCAGATCTGACTGGGGTCACTGAACGTCAGAAAATTCAAAACCTTAGCAAACCACATTACTAAAATATGCCCAGTAGAGCCTTAGGCAAATGTATAGTGTTTGTGGGTAAAAAAAACTGAATTTCTTAAAAGCCATATAGTTCTCAATTGTCTTCCGAGCTCGCGTCTACTTCAAAGCAGATACTTCAAAAGAGTAACCGATTTTCCGGTTAAATGGCATATATATTTTGAAGCGTGGAACAGTTGACATAAACTTCAAGCCATATTTTCACCAATTTTACCTGCCGTTTGATTTATTTTCGTCCATCTGTGAGCTTTCCAAAGCGGCTTCATTTTATGTGAGCGGCTCAATTGGGAAATTTGTTTTAAAGACCATTAATCACTGTCATAATTCAAACCTCGGTTATGTGGTGCAAAAATGTGTTCAGATCACGTAACAGAAGGATATCCTGTCAATCTTAGTACTTATCGGTGTTTAATACTTACTACAGGATAAGAATTTTGTATCTTGCAATTTTTACCGAAATGGTGAATTTGATCCATAAACTTTTAACACATAATGGAGCAATCAGTGGTGAGGTTGAAGCAAACCAATGCCTCAGACACTTCTAATACATAGCCAGGGAAAGATCCTATTCGTAATTTTTGAAGTGAAAAGGGTATATTCTCAAATGAAATCCCACTTGGAAGGTGCCTGAAATAACTCACACGTATGTAAATTAGGAGGGTAGGGCATCTGTCATATTCGATAGCAAAGGATTTGCGACATCGCACCCGATTACTAAAAAACGAAGAATGTGTGAACAAAGGTGTGGCTTCGCTACGGCTGTTGGGTCAACGTGTTAAGCAGGATGGACGTGACGCCTTCCAGGCTGAAACACCACATAACTCCCACATGCATTAATCAAGGAACTACTAGGATGGTAGTGGTAAAAATGTGACAACAACAAAAATCTCGAAATATCAATGGGAAAGGTGGTTTTAGACAACCAATTCAGTCGCGTCTTCTGCAGGAAGGCACCAGAGTTAGTCAATGCATTCGTTCCAAAGCCTAGTTCAGCTTCCAGCAATGCAAACATGGCTCATGCTGGGAGTACCATATAACATCCTGGCTAGTGAATCAAACTCCTCTTCTATACTTAAAAGAAGGACTTTTAGGAAGGGGTACCGAATTCGCTTTTGCAAACAACCCAATTTATGTAGTAATAAAGAAATTACGATGCATCAAAACGCCAAAAATGAAAGATGCTATTTTTTAAGTCAG